CTTGGTTGGCACAATATTTTGATAAGCATTTTGGATAACCCGTGTACTTCCATCTTGGGTTTCGGTTTTGAAGCATTCATTATTCCAATGATTTTGCATCAAGTCTTCAGATTTAATCTCATAACCCCATCTATGACACCCCTCCAAATATATCTTTTTTGGTTCTACTTCAGTAATTTTTACCAATCGCCAGCATTTGAAGCATATAGCTATCTGATTTTTATAAACTTTAGGTCTTTGATAGCTGATATGTTCAACTCTTGGTCTATGGTTTTCAAGATAAGTTTTAATACTTCCTTCTTCAAAAGAAGTGAAGAGACAATATACATGATAAATGCTAGATCTTTCTCTAGAAAGTAACTCTTTCAAATCATCTTTTATATGAATAGCACACTGTTGAGGTATTTCACAGGGTCTAATAATAGCTAAATCATCGTATCTTTTTTCTAGTTTGTATATATTTTCGATACGATTATAGTTATAACTACCATATTTCACATAATATTTTTTGACATATTCCAAATCATATCCTGAACAAAGATTAATAGATTTGGATACCGATTTATTAAAAACCTCATCTATAATGATTTTAGGAGTTTGATTAGACATATTTATTAATAATTTATTGTTTTAGTGTTTTAACAATTTGTAGCGTTTTTAGCGATTTATAGCGATTCTTTATCAATCTATATTAAGAAATATCACGATTAGAGGTTGGAACCGGTTTTATTTTTATTAACCGGTTTTATTAACTTTTTAAAAATCACAACCGAATATAAATCGGTTATAATATATCCGGTTAAATCCAGTTATCTGGTTATAATAATCTGGTTAAATCTAATTAATCAGTTGTAATATAACTGATTAATCGGATTTAACCAGATTATTATGCCCAATTAATCGGATTTAACCAAATTGTTATACCCAGTTAAATTCATCACGCATATAGATTAATGGATATACATGTGCATTCAGATATGTATAATTTGAATACAAAAAAATGCAAACGTAAGCGATATCGTAGTGTGATAACTAATGATAGTAAAAGCAAGAATTTTAGACACAAAAATCGATAACCTGATGTAAATTAATTCCGTATTTACCTGATATTTGGCATTTTTCATTTATCTTCATAGGACTTTTTATTGGGTTACTGGAACGATAATCGCTGATCATCAAAAACGAGAAAATTTTAATTTTTTTGATAATCGGATAACCTAATAATTTATTACATGATGCCTTGCAAACTTTTGTTTGATTAGCTAATGTGAGTCTATTACCTATAGTGTATATCAAAATGCTTCACGATATATTAATGACTATTTGTTAATTACTATATTTGCTTTCGTTCCTGGTTCTAGCGCAACTGCATCATGCAGTTATCTTATTTAATCAAAACTAAGTTTCATATGTGCAAGAAGATAAATGAGTGCCATCAAATGAAAACCTGTTATCAGGCTCAATTACGTTTTGTACCAAACACAATTACTAATAAATCAAATAGATTTAGTCTAGTACAGAATACACATATAATTAAAAGCCTGATGGCAGACTTTCCTTTACGGCACTCAAATGAAACAGCAGAGACCATTAATATTACACATATATTAAAACTGTTGAGGGATTATATTCATCACAATTAAATTCAACATAAATAATTTAATTTGTGACTGATCACAGGTGAGAGGGATTCACTTTAGATCGGGCACTGTCTCTGCTAAACTCAAATGATCATCTAATCATTCGGATAAAACCGGTTATAATAAAACCGATTAATCGATTAAAGGTGGTTATAATAAAACTGATTAATCGGATTAAAAAATTTATAACCCGGTTATAATTTATAACCGGTTATACCTGGTTATAAATCCGATTACGATAACCGGTTCCAATCTCTAATCACGATTCAAATTTGTACGTAGCCGAAAACAAAAAA